AGACATATTTAGGTCGCAATTTTTTGAGGTTTATTTGGGTTTTGAAGATGACTAAAGTAGTTTGAGATTTATTATGATAAGCTTTACTAAAAACTGGTATATATGGTATTGTCCATACATAACATGAAACTGGGAAGTGCTGAGATATATTTTAGATTACAAAAAATCACTTAAAAGAGAAATGTATTTGGAAAATCAATTTCTATTACTCAATTTCTAAAAAATTAGATGAAGGAAGAAATCGATCACTTTTCGTATTAACTTCATGCTATAAACAGATATAGTCAATTACTTCTTTAAGCACCTGTGCTATACAAACTATATAGCTTAAAGTGTAATGAGGATAATTGTTATTAACTAGTGCTGTATATATAATTTATAAAATTTCTGTTGACTCAACTTCCACAAATATTGTATACCATTGGACTTCAATAGTATTATATATTACAAGTACATATATAGCAATAAAATTTTTTTTTTTTTAAACAAATATTCCATATATAATTCAATAATTATATACATACTTGTACATACATAAATTATATAACCACAATCGCCGTCTTAAGTTGAAGTATTGAACTAAGCCGTGTGGAGTTTGCGGTTTGCAATTTAAATGATGCGTAAGCGAAATGAGTTGAGTTGGTTAATGAATAAAATTCGTTATGTCGATGAGATCATTTTTATTTAGAAACGTTATAGTTTTCTAGTTCCAAATAATAAATAAATAAAATAAATATTACACCTGCCAAAATGGGAGTAGCGTTACTGCATGCAAATGAACTTTGACACTTTTGTCAACAAAATCTTCTGAATTTATCCTCTTTTTTGTTTATCTTAACATATTTATATTGGAAGTTTCACTAAATGAAGTTTATTTATTTACTTATTATATTTGGAAAAGTCTTAATTTAAAAAAGGAAAGCAACTTAACTCTTGAATTTATATATTTCAACGGTTTCATAATTATTGTGTCACATAAATGATATTATAGAATCACCTTATAAGAGCCAAAAGCAGATGGCGCTTTTCACTGTATTTTACTATATATCTGTTCAATTTCTAAAATTAATAAATTTATCAAAAACGTATAAAAACAATATTTTTTAGGATTTTATTAAAGTGCATATATTTATCTCGCAATCTGGGCAAAGAAAGTATAGTTACAAAGTGTTATTCATTTCGTAGTCTTGATTTTGTAAAAATGATTAAGTGACATATGTCAGTTCGAACGGTCAAGGCATTATATGTAGCCATTTTACAATATGGATTATTTAGCAGCCGCTGAACGTATAAAAATTGTAAAAATTTGATACAAAAATGGTGACAATTTTTCCCATCGAGGTTTCTTCAACGATGAGGGTTATTTTTCGCTTGTTGTATATATCAACAAACAAAATTGTAGAATCTAACATCGAAAATAGTAAAAATCCACTACTAACTAATGATAACCAATTCCATTTACAAAAAGTTACTATTTGGTGTATTCATAGCACTTGTTCTGGAAGTGTGCTGGGTGCGTATTTTTTTAAAAAGCTGAACAATTTTTAAACCATTTTTAAAAATGGTGTGACAAAACATTAACTCTAATTGCTAAAATCAATCAGGAAGATATGTGATTTCAACAGCACGTCCTACTTCGTCTTTGTTACCCGTAAAAATTCCGGGACGAGTATTTTCACGTTTTGGTGGTGTGATTTGGTCATTAAGATCGTGTTAAGATTGCCACCACTGGACTTTGTTTATGAAGTTACGTAAAAGAACATTTGAGGATAATCCACAAACTCAGGATTTTGCGTTATCTTGAAGGATATTCCTTCTTTAAGTTATAGTCAAACTATTTCTAGCTAAGTGTTAACAAATGATCAAAAATCACCTCAAAAGAATCCAGTAGTATAAGGCGTTCCATGGCAAATTTTTAAATAATGTTGTACTTCACAGCTAATATCAAACTCCATATTCTATACTCCAAACGACATATTTAAATCAAAATTTGATCTAAATCTCAACACAAATTGTTTTTTTTTTACATATACTTTCGGATCCCAATACATTCAATAAATAGAATAGTATCTCAATATATGAACTTGAACTAAGAGCTTTAATTTTTTCGTAAATAATTTTATTTATTCTAGAAGTTAAGCGAATTCTGTAATTACGAAATATTTAGCCATTTTACTATAAATTATTTTTGTCTATTACTTTTTATTACTTTTTTTTTGCTTGCTTAAATGGAAAAAAAATTTTCAGTTTTTACCTTTGAAGTTATTATAAACTTCAAGAATAAAACTGAAGTGAATTGAAATTTTGATAAAGAAACTATGTGAAATGTGTGTGGAATTAGAAAGACGTGAGATACACAAAAAAAAAAAATGGTATAAAAAACTGATTTTATTTTGCCAAAATGACCTCATTTACATTAGAATTAGTATTCCATAATTCGATTGTTGCCATAAATTAAGAATATCAAACATAAATTTTGATCGCAAACATTAAATCTAAACTGACAAAATCTCCAAAATCTGCGAAATATACGAAACCATTAATGTGCACGGAGAAGGTATGACATCACGTTTGACTTTAAGCTGTTTGCATGCCAATCTACAATCTGTGCCTCAACTGGCCACCCCACTCCGTTCGAAACCATTCCGTGTACTCGCGTATAATAATTCATCAGCTCAACACAAGTTGTTATTTTTAAATTTTCCTTGAAGCAAAAACATTTTGCAGTCTTCCACATGATCACTCACAGATTGCTAAAATATAAAATGATCGTCATCATCGCCAAAGTTCGATGTGTCTCAGTTCCGCCGAACGTTTTTTCCTCCGCTCTTATGCATTTTGAATTGAGAAAATATTTTAAATGAGACCTTGATCCCGCATTAAATCTTGGTGGCATAAGATTGTCGCTTGTTGTATTTCACTGTCTGCGGTTGTGTATGGCAGATCGGTATGCGCAGTAGGTAAAGGCACAGGCACAGGCACGGCCACTCCTTTTAATCAGCAGCTGACGATCTTGACTTTTAATATTTTGTATGTGGCTTGGTAGCTGGGTAGCTTGGTGACTTGACTTGACTTGACTTGCCTTGCCTTGCCATGACATTCCGTGCCACTTCACAAGTTTATCGATTATTTTCATTTTCGTTTCGATTATATTCATTGTTTTTTTTTTTTGTTTTATTCTTTTATTATAAAATTTAACTTACAAAATACTTTATAAATGAGATTTTGATAAGTGTTTGAATACTTGTATATCATTTAAAATTCAATTCCCTATTTCACTCTCTTTAAATAGAATTTTTTATTACTTTACTGGTATGTTACCTTTGTTATTGTTAATTATGCTAAAGAATAGATTTATACGTGTCTGAAGTTTCATGTGGAAAAAAAAGGATTAAAATAAAGTTTTTGCTAACAATTCATTCTAGATAATCAAAATTAAAAATACATGTTAAACAAAATACTAAAGAAATTACTGAAGATCTTATAATATGAAATATTATAGATTCTAATAAAGATCTAGAAATAAAAGCAGTAATAACAAGAAGATAACGCGCTTTTATAAAAAAAATAAATGGGTTTATGGATTTCGAAGTGACACAGTGTGTCTGAAGGCATAGTCACGCCTATGGCTTATTCCTTCGTCTGCTGTTTCAAACACCTTTGTTTGCTTTTATCTTCTAGACATAACCAACTCAAGGAAACTATTGAATATTAATTCACTGAACTATGTTAACGTCAGAATAAAGCTCGTCCAGCTTATAGTTAATTCGGGTGTGATAATCGTCATCAATTCGTAGAGGACCATACATTTTACGAAGAATCCATTATGTGAAAATAAGAACAACAAAGATGAGCCAATAAAATCATAAATTCCCGAATTTAATTGTTGTTTTTTCACCTGAAATATAGTTATTTCAACTTGCACTGTTCGTGGTACAAAATATCTGAAATATATGTTTATAAATACTAAAATATTAATTCAAGTATAAAGTTCTGATACTTACACTAATCGCAATACTACTTCTAACTCTAATATCAACAACAACAACAATTAAAAAAAATAAAAAAGAAATACCATAGAATATTGGAAGTCGTCGCTGGCAACTTTAGTTGCTTTATATATATAACCTTTCTTATGTTATCTATATCGCGCCTCGTTTGGTATATTTATTTGGTATATATCTATACTATCACGTCTAATATTACGATATCATTCACAGATGACATTTTGTCATTATGTTTTTTGTTCGGATTCAGTTGAGACCTTATTTACTGTCCTTCTCTCCTAGTCAATCGTAGGGCCCTAACTACAGTAGTTGGTAGTACTACTGATCAAATATGGCTGTACTGTTTAGCTTCTCTGAGAGCCATTATCCTAGTAATTTGCATTATATTCTAAAACCTATTCAGATGAGTGAAAATGTACATATACAAATGCAAATGAGGTTTAATATAATATGCGACTATTTTTTCTGCATGAATATAGTACATCTAAAATAAAATTAACGTACCTACGTTAACTAAATATTATAATTAATTTTATTTTTTAATATTTTGATAGTTATTGAAACCTTATAATGTAAGTTCTTATTACATACATAGCATTGTATGTACAATATCTTGTGATGCCCATACAATATATTAAAAAGATAGTTCCTCTATTAGGTGATCTTATGACAACATCTACATCATATGTCTTGTATGTATCATCACTATAAGACTTACTCTATCTTATATGTAGTATTTTAAAAAAGTGTGTCCTATTCATTCATATTTTCTTCATCGATCGATCTTTCTTGTGTCACTTATACGTTAAATGTGATGGTTGTCCAATATTCACGAAATTGACGAATATTCTAATTTTAGTTTCTCGCCTATGTGTATTATTCGATCTTTTGTTCTTGTTGAGTCAGTAGATTACTAACTATTATAAAATATTATAGTTATTCAGAATTTCAATATGACATAATTTTCATTTATCAATGTTTTTTCCTTTTCAGATCAATTAAAGGATATCACATCAAGGCTTAATACAAAAAGTAAAAAACCTTCTCGGCAAAGCCTAAAAGAAGTAACAAATCAAAAATTAGAAACAAAAAAGAATGCAAAATATAAAATTTTAATTTTGTTTCCCAACAAATTTACCATAAATTTGATAAGTCGTATAATTAAAAAAAAAATTAAAATTAAATTAAAATGTTATGCAGTGTAAGAAACCCTAAATTATGTTAATATTTAGGACTAGCAAAATTAATTGAAAAGATTCAAAATATACGATTAAGTAGAATCCAAGCATTGCATAGAACTTCACAGAAATGGCAATAAACTTTTCCGCATCATTTGCGGCTTGTATTGCTGCTGGACTTAAAGTGCCTCGGCAGATAATGTATTGTATAACGCAAGACACAGGACAGCCCTACGTGCTGTACAAAGACTCACAGGATGCAGAACGCAACGCTGCTGCACTGGGCGGCACAGCAGCGCAATGGGGTACTGAAATGTATCCCGGCATACAGCAACAAGCACAGACGCATTTGAGTGCACAGAATGCGCAAAATACTGCGCCTCAAATAACTTCCGCAGCGCAGGCAGCTGCGGGTGCAGGTCAACCACAGAGCCCAACTGGCGATCCTAACGTACGAGAAAATGGCGGTGATGGTGTACGTCATCAAGGTTCACCATCAACGAGTCCATACCCACAGCAGTCACAACAACAGCGCGCAAATGGTAACAACGGACACGACGACGAAACTGGTATGAATCAGGTAGGTAGAAAAAGATATATTAATTTTCTAAGAAAAATATAAAGACAATTTAAAAAACAGCATTCATTTAAGGTTGCCGGTCTACAAGGTGGTAATCCGCAACAAAATTCAGCGCAACAACCAAACCCAAACCAAAGTAACAATGATCCCCAACAACAGCATCAGCCTACGGGTAATGATGCGAGTGCGGCAGGGAATCCACAACATGTACAGCAAAATGGTGGTCAACCACAGCCAAATGATCCAACAAATGGTTATCAAGCTCCGCAAGCTGGTGAATTAGGCAGTTATTATGCCCCAAGGCATCCAGCACCACAAGGTGCTATGCTAGCACCACCTCCTGGCTTTCCTCCACTACATTATCTCAACAAGCCCGTTTTAACTGGTATGTCAGGTCCGATGGATCAAAATGGCGGCCTTGAAGCTTATTCCATGCCCGAGCTGTTACCTGGTCAACAAAATGGCACCGCACAACAAAACGGCAATCACACTAGTAACGGTAGTGGTGGACGCCATCCTACAAACTCCCCTGCTACACATAAGTCGGCCAAGCCGCATAGCGATTTGCGCCTCTTTAAATGTCTTACCTGCGGCAAAGACTTTAAACAGAAAAGCACATTGCTGCAACATGATCGCATTCATACCGATGCTCGACCTTTTCCGTGTTCGGAATGCGGTAAACGTTTTCGCCAGCAGTCGCACTTAACGCAACATTTGCGCATACATGCTAATGAGAAACCATTCACCTGCGGATATTGTTCCCGTGGCTTCCGTCAACGAGCGATACTCAATCAGCACATACGCATCCATTCGGGTGAGAAGCCTTTCTCATGCCCAGAGTGCGGCAAGCACTTTCGCCAGAAGGCCATCCTCAATCAACACGTGCGCACCCACCAAGGCGAGCGACAGTTATTGCAAGAATTGATAAAAAAAGCATTTGATTTAGTTTTAATAGCTCTTCAGTCCAATATTTATTCAATTATTTTCCTTTTTAAAATCGCCCTGCAAAATTCAAAATTATTCATTTTTTTAAATTTTCCAAATTTCATTTTTAACTTCTATGCGCTTTGATAGAAGGAAATGGCTTTATATCCAGAATGGTGTTACTTGTTTATAATGGGCAATCAATACTCCGCTTAGGTTGAATTAAAAAAATGAATCAACAAACAAAAATGCTCTTGCATGACTTAAAATTTTATAACTCCAATGCAGCTATCATTGTGTGGTTTCTACATTTGATCAAACAATCAAATTCTATATAATATACTACTTTAACAAATACGCATATTGCAATAGATCTCTTGAAAGAACATAAGAGTAGTTAACAATCTTAACATGACTTCTTTTATTAACTTCCTCGAAGTTCAGACTTAGCCTTATCATATCTTTATTTAAATATTTTTAAAATAAAAATTGAATTTTATTTCTGAAGTTTATACATCTCTTCCGTCCTCGCCTTATAGGAGTTTTAGGTTCCCTAAGCTAAAGTTCTTTTCTAATGTGTAGGGTTAATAGTAGGGTTCTCAGTGTAAAGCTCTCATGTGCACAGCCTTCTCTCTTTTTTTTTTAATTAATTTATTTTAAGCTTCAATTTTGAAACGAAATTCTCTTTGTTTATTTTTTAAGAACCTGATGCTCGACCTTTTCCGTGCTCGGAATGTGGTAAACGTTTTCGCCAGCAAATGCATCTAACGCAACACTTACGCATACATACCAACGAAAAACCATACACTTGTGGGTATTGCTCCCGTGGTTTCCGTCAACGAGCGAATCTAGATCAACACATACGCATCCACTCGGGTGAGAAACCTTACGAATGCCCGCAGTGCGGCAAACACTTCCGTCAGAAGACCATCCTCAACCAGCACGTGCGCACCCATCAAGGCGAGCGACATTTTTTTCTAAATTCTTTTATGTTAGATTTTGATTAGAGTTACACTTATAAGATCGAAATTTATTTCCTTAACATTAATTTTTTATACTAAGAGTGGCGCCTTTTATGCCTAGGATAGTAGCTAAGCAAGTTTAAGTCTACTTTTAAATCAAACTTTAGATTTAATGTTAGAATTTTAGTTACTTTTAAAATTATATCAAACGATGAACTCAGCCTTCCTTGGAACTATACAAATTTGCTTTTGTTAAATGAACTCTTTTTATTTTGTTTTGTTTTTAATGCCTAAAATACACCCACACTCCCTAATCACTATTATACATAAACTTTTTATGCTTAATTTTCTATGCATCTCTCTATGTATGCAAAGAAAGTAAGAATCGACACCAGAATATACATATATTAGGGACAAGATTTTTATTTGAAAAAATTATCTTTTAAATTATTTTTCTTTTTCACTTAGTTTCATTTTCAATAAGGAAGGTATAAGGCCAGGCCTTTAGAATAATATTGCTCAAAGTCCTCGCCGATAGGTCTAGTTTAAATGTGCACTGTCTTCTTTCATTTCTTTAAATTTTTTATATTAAATTAGTTGCTGAAAAAAATTCTCTTTTTTTCAAGAACCAGATGCTCGCCCCTTTCCGTGCACAGAATGTGGTAAACGTTTCCGACAGCAAACTCATCTTACTCAACATTTACGTATACACACCAACGAGAAACCATTCACTTGTGGATATTGTTCACGTAGCTTCCGTCAACGAGCGAACTTAGATCAACATGTTCGAATCCATTCGGGTGAGAAGCCTTACGAATGCCCACAGTGCGGCAAGCACTTTCGCCAGAAGGCCATCCTCAATCAACATGTGCGCACCCACCAAGGCGAGCGACAGTTATTGAAAATTCATGAATGATAGAATTTGATTTAGAGATAAACGAGAGTTTAATTCGAAAAAAATTAAATCTTAAATCGTATTAGATTTTGAAAGAGTGACGCCAATATTAATATTAATTTAAATTTACCAACTAGAAGAGATGAGAGTCAGGGAAATTGAACACAATTCAAAAAATAATAAAATTGTTTTTTTTTTAGAATTAATTACAGAATAACTTTTAAAAATTAAACAATGGCGTTAAGTTCTAAATTCTTCTTAAAAATACACTCTAAAAATTTCTTGGATAGTTACACTTTTCTGGCTCTATTTACATTAGAAAGATATTTGAAATTTCTGCAATTTATTTTATTTCATTTAATTAAGTTTTAGGTTTTCTAATTAAACAAAAAAAACCAAAATTTTTTTATTTGCTTTTTAATTTAAATATTTTTTATATGATTAATATTTGTATCTTAACGTTAAAGAAATTCATGTAATAGAATAGTTGAAGTTTTGATTTGGCGTCACTCTTTAATATCGTCTTAATGCACTTTGATTAAAGGAAATGGCTTTGTTTCCAGAATGGTGTTACTTGTTTATATCTGACATATGTCCACGAAATAATTCAATTGTAGAATGAGGCATACTAACGCATATACAAAAATACTTACACATTATCTTGTCAAAATACCTCTGGCAAAAGCTTTCTTTTCTATAATATATATAAACAAATCTAATCGTATTTATTTATGTGAATTATTTGTTTCAAACACTGTCCTTTCTGCAAATTAATTGAATTATACTAATTTTTTGGCTCGTTTATTTTTAAAACCTATTGAAAACAGACGTAAATCACTCTCAGAAATTGCCAATTATTTTATTATCCTCTTTAAGTTAGGTTCCCGTAAACAAGTCACTATTCTGGAAATGAAAAAAAAAACAAATCTGGCAAAAAGTTAAATAAGGACGATCTCTAAATAAATTTAAATTAATTAATTAATTAACTAAATTTCGATCCTTTGATAAAGTGCTGAAGCACTTTACCTGCTCTAAGTAGATTAGCTTAGTTAATTAAATTTTTTATGGGTACTGCCCAAAATTAAAATGTTTTTAACATATTTCTACTTCTTTAATTTCATCAATGCAGATGTGTCACCACATCTTATATTTAAGAATGGACCTCATCCGACGTTATGGCCACAGGATGTTCCATTTCCCGGTGATGAGACTGAATCTAAGAATGACATTTCTGCCGGTGGATATCATGATGAAGATTCGCAAAATACACCAGATGGCAGCGGTGGTATTCATTATCCAGCATATTTCAAGGATGGCAAAGGTAAAATTTAAAATACACGCCAAAAAATGTGTAATAATTTCTAAATATTTGTATATATATTTTTCTATATTTCTTAATAGGACAAAAGATATTGCCAGATGTACTTCAACATATTGGTGTCCGTCCGGCAAATATGCCTCTTTATGTGCGTTGTCCTATTTGCGACAAAGAATTTAAACAGAAAACAACTTTACTACAACATGGTTGTATACACATCGAATCGCGTCCATATCCATGCCCAGAATGCGGTAAACGTTTCCGTCAGCAATCACACTTGACACAGCATTTGCGAATACACACCAATGAGAAGCCGTTTGGTTGTATGTATTGTCCTCGTTTCTTCCGGCAACGCACCATTTTAAACCAGGTAAGTTGAACACAGAAACATTTAAAATCAAGTAAATTTATTTAATTTTTAATATTATAAGCACTTGCGAATTCATACTGGCGAGAAACCCTACAAATGCGGACAATGCGGCAAAGATTTCAGACAAAAGGCCATACTGGATCAGCATACAAGAACCCACCAGGTAGTTGTAGAGTAGAAGATCTATATCTGAATACATGTTATAATATAAAATACTTAGATTTGTTTGTTTTATAAATGATATTGTTTATTTCATGTATAGAGAATAACTAGTTTATAATTTAATAAAATTTACTTTTTATTATTCCAAGGGTGATCGGCCATTCTGTTGCCCCATGCCAAATTGTCGACGTCGTTTTGCTACCGAAAATGAGGTAACTAAACACATTGACAACCACATGAATCCAAATGCTACGAAAGCTAGACGCAACACCACAAATAATAACACAAACAATCACGCAGCAGTGGCCGCAGCATCAGCAGCCGCAGCAGCGGCAGCCAACCATTTAATGAACGAAACTAAAAACGCTGCCGTAGCACAACAATTTCTAAATAACAATAATCCAGCCGCACCCGGCGATAAGTCATTAATACCACGTTCCATGGCAGGCGCCAACAATGGAGGACAACAATCGGTTGTTAAAAATGAATTATACTTCCCACAATGTTATGGCCCGGCTTTCCCACAAACTTTCCAGCCACAAGGTCAACCAACCGCGGCACATGCGCAACCACCAGTTACTGTCACATTAGCCAATTCGGCTCCAGGAGTAGTTGTGCCAACATCTGTGGTGGCACAGTGACATCCCTCAACCGCAGCAACTGTGGTGGTACCCGTAACATCGGCAGCTGCTTCATTGCCAACACATCAACAACAACAGTCACAACAACAGCCACAAGCTCATAGCCAACATACAGCTCCCCCTCAAACAGTTACACTCTCCATAACTTTACCACCAGTAGCCGCTCTACCTCCAAATGCGGCAGCACCATCAGCAGCCGCACATCATCCCACACATCATCCACCACATAGCAGCGCACCCGTTTGTGGTCCACCTCCACCACATGCGCATCACACAACTGCAGCACCGCCGCCTCCGCCACCACCACCTACATTATCACATGCAATTCCTATACATCCTCATATTCACTCGATATTCGGATCTCTATGATGACATCAAGCAGCCTAAGTATAATTTTTTTTATAAAGTTATTTAATAAAATTATAAAAAAAATGACTAAAATAAAAATACATAAAAATGTGTAACCATTTATCTGAACATATATCCACGTTAGGAAACTCTTTCTAAATTCTTTTCCTACGGGTATATGTCAAATAGATATATTAAAAATAAAATGCTTCAGAGTATTAAAAGTATTTTTTTAACACAAATAATTTCACTTAAAATACAAAAAATAAAAATTCAATACATAAAATTCAAAAAAAAAAAAAACTATATATGCAATATATATATATATGTATATATATATATTGAACGAATATGAAAACAAATGATACATATAAACAAACAATAATATACAAATGTATACAATATATCAAATTCTTATTAATTTTAACAATGACACTGATAATATTTATATTTAATATAATTATTTTAATTAAACTTAATTTAAGTTTTCGTAATTTGTCAAGAAAGTTTAAAAAACTGCGTAAAAAATTAAGAAAATTTTAAAGTTCACACACTGACCTCTAGTTTTATTTTTTTTTTTTATATATAAAAATTAAAACAATAAAAATTATTTATTAGTTTTAATATTAATTTTGATAAATAATTAAATTTGAGAATATTTAGAATAACAGAATTTTTTTTTTTTTTAAATTACATATGCAATCTAAGACTTAAATAATTTATTAGTTGTGATATTAATTTTTAAAATAATTATTTTTCTGTTTATATTGAAGTTTCCAATTCTAAAAATACAACAATAAAAGTAAATTATTAATTTTAATATTAATTTAAATTAATAATCAGTTTTTTGTATATTATAAAGTTCACAAACTTTTCAAAGTAATTATGTATACAATATACAACAATTTAATTATTTATTAACTTTAATATTAATTTTAATTAATAATTAATTTTGTAGATATTTTTGTTAGATATTTTGTAGATTATGTACATTTTTTTTATTCTGTATTTCTAATCGTTTATACAGACCTTTAATTTACCTGAAAAGTTTATCTTCAACTTCCTTATTTTGTTGGCTTGGAAAAAGTCCTTTTAGAAGGGGCTTTAAAAAGCTTTAATGTTGTTTGATTCTCGTAATCTTTAACATATAAAAAAATTTAGTGATATTTATATAAATTTTAGTTATTATTTAATAATTTAATTGTTCGGAGTATATATCGACTACATAAAAAGCTATAAAATGCTTTCTAAAATGTCGATACTTTTGAAAATTTTAAAAAAAATTTCAATTTTATTTAAATTGAATTTAAATATCAGTTTAAAATTTATAAAAAAAAAATATAAATTGATTTGAGAAGTTTAATCTTTGTAAGTTCTCTAGTTACTTACTACTACTTGGGTCAAATTCAGCTAAAATTTCTTGAGGAAACTTTAATTATTATTCAAAAGTTAATATATATTTATTAGTTTCTTTATATATATTCATATACGAACAAAAAAGAATAAAAAAAAAATAAAGCGAAATAAAGAAATAAGGGGAGGAATGTGTGTGAAATATTTTTATTTGAGCAGCTGAAGTTATTTTAATTCTTCTCTAGATATTACTTATAGAACATTGTTTTTGTTAATTTTTAAGCCGCTCTTAAAAAGCGTAGATTCTAAGCAAATTCCTATAAAAATAAATATAAAGTTGAATAAATTATTATTATATTAATTCTTTTAAAAAGTAATTATTTTCGTAAAAGATTGAAATAATAAGGACTTCCTTTTAATTGTGATTTTAATTTCTTCTTATTCAAAACTTTTGTAAATTTATTATTTATTACTTAACAAAAATAATAATAATGATATGAACTTAAATAATTGTCTTCCCAAATGTTAAAATTTTTAATTGTTTTAACATTTCGTTCACACTTAATAATTATAACAAAAAAAAAATGAGAGATGAAAAATGAAAAACAAAAATAATTATTATGTGACTCCTCAGAGTGCCATATTGAAAGCAAAAAATTTAATATATAAAATATAAATACTATAAATAATTATTACACAATAATATATAAACAATATTTTTAAGTGTGGACATGTTATTTAAATTTGATATACGCGAAGGCATTTACATATATAATTTTTAGAATACTTGTATAAGTTTTCTCCAAAAAATCAAAAAATTATTTTTCTTAGTGCTTATTATTTATAACTTTACTCATAATTATAATGAAATTATTTTATTATTATTATCATTTCCTCTTATTTTGTTTTATTTGTATTTTTTAATTAAATTTTATGTTTCCTGTATTTGAAAAAAAATAGATATATATATTAATAAATTTTTATGAATCACATAATTATTTGTTTTTTTATTTTTTAGTTTGAATTTTACTGTTGATTTCGCACAAAATGGGGTAAAACTATTGAAAATGAAAACGTTTTGGCAAAGTAATTGTATCTTTTGGCTGACAAAGAGTGCGTCTGTTTGTGATAAGAACTAAATTTGGCTTCAAGCAAAACAAATTAAATGTAAATAAATACGAAGAGTAAGGATAAAAGATTTGGATTGAGTTTGGCATATGTGTGCAAAAGTTTTATAGTTATAAAAATTTAGTAAACTTGTTTTGGATTTTAAATTCTATTATAAAATAAAAATTTAGACAAAATTTTGAAATTACTTCTAGGCTCTAAAACACACGAACATAATTAATAAAAAAAAGTAATAATAAATTTCGGCAAAGTTTTTTGGACAATTTTTCAAAATTTTATTAAAGAAAAATCTGGATTGCGTGAAACAAAAAAAGGCTTTTATTAGAATTAAATTCCATTTCTAGCATGAATTGCTATAAATATTAAGTATGTATGTACTTGGCCTTAAACTAAAACTTTAGTAAAATTTTATTTTATAAAAAAGAATTCTAAATATATGGAATATTATCAAAAAAATTTTTAAAAAATGTTAGGCTCTAAAAATTATAATTATTTAATTTTATTTTTAATTTTTAAAACATTTTGAGGCATTTCATGCTTTAGTTCTAATGAAAGCAATTATTAGACTGAAAGTCGCTGTGATAATCAAAAGATAAATTAATTAATTAACACTAAATATAAAACTTTTGTATATTTAAAATTAACGTACTTAAAAAATTAATAATTAAATAAAACTAAATTTAGGCGCTTAACAAAATTAATAAATCAAAATTTTAATAGTTACAAATAATTTATAAAAAATATTAAAAATGTGTGCGTGACACATTAAACTTAAAAAAAATTTTGCTCCATTTTTAATTTTTTAATTTTTGTTATGAAAAAGTTTATAAGTTAATTACATTTAAAAAAGCAATATCAGTTCTGTTTAAATACTTCACATGGTTTTGTTTTCTCTATTAAATCTTATATAATATTAAAAAATAAGTAAATTTGTTTTTTTTTATTATTGATGATAAAAACACAAACCAAGGACGAAACACGCGTGTATATAAAAAAAATAAAAAACAAAAAGTTTCGAAATAAAAAAAAAATTATTTGTACTAAAACATATACAAAAAATATTTTAGAAATGTCAAAAGTAATTAAAATTAGTAATTAGTTTACATAAAAAACATATAAAAAATATTTGTTTGTGGTAGAAAAAATATTTAGGCTCCAAAAATCGACAATTTTCGACAAATGGAAAAATGTGAAATGTCTGTAAAAGTTGCATACACAAAATACCGGAATTGACCTATAAATAAATGCTTATATAGCATTTATATATACTCCCAGCTAATCAATGTAAACGCATAAAACACTTGACATGACAAAATATCAAACACAGAATTGCACAATGAATTCCTTGGAAGGATCATAAAAGTTTTAAACTATATATAATTATTAGCAACCATGACTAAGGCAAAAAAAAAAATAATAAAAGTAATGACATAAAAATTAGAGAAATTATGTCCATAATTTATCTAAAAGCAAGCGAAGAGTAAATATATATATACATATAAATAAAACAAGTTTTAATAATTATAATAAAAAGAATTCAAATTTCTCCAAATAATAAAAATAAAATAATGTGAAATCATTAATTTTTCTTCATTTACAGTAACAAATTAAAACAATAGCAAGAAAGCCAATACCGAAGTAGTGTAAACTGCTCAACTACTTCAGAACTAATGAACATATATCAAAACATAAATATAAATTGTTATATATTATACACATTTATGTACATCAAATATGTATAAATTAATTAATAAATAGCAAGATACAAAAAACAATAGCCCAATTAATGAACCAAAAGTACAAATAATTTAATAGAAATAAAATCAATAATTTTTTGTCTTAAGTTGTTAAAATAAAAATAAAAATATAAATGAAAATTAAAACAAAAATAAAACTTAAAATAAATTTAAAAAATAAAACAAAGAATACTTTACATGAAAATAAAAAACAGAAAGGCAAAATAAAATGGAGAATTTGAATATAAAAATTAGCTTTTTGTATAAGTATAGTCTATACATACATACTTCAAAAACTAAATCGTGGTATATATATACATATATGTCCGAACAATTCTAATTAATATACAAGCAATTTATTTGATGGAAAACAAATTTGAAAAAATATATATAATATATAACTAATATAAATATTTTTATAGCGGTTGCTTTAAAAATACTATATTTTATTTACTTATTAATAATTTAATTTGAAATTATTATATATATATTGTTTAATTTAATATTTATAAAATTTTTGATTGTATAAAATAATTAATTTTATTTATTATTTTAATAGTTGTGTAAACTTTTACTTAAATAAATACTTATTAATAACTTATACTTAAAACAATTTTTAATCTAATGTTTTTTCAGATTAATTGGTAAATTATAAAAAAAATTAAAAAATGGACCAATTAACCTGTAAAAGCACTATATTATAAATTATTATATTATTAATAATTATTATATTATGTATAATAAGTTTTGTAATTTATTTCAATTTTGTATTTTTTATAATATTTTACAAAATGATTGTGTAGTTATAAATAATTTATATAAAAAAATGATTTTACGAAATTATTCACATAATTACTATTTAAATAATTATTATGTTTCAGTTTTATTTTAAATTATTATTTTTTTATTGTTTAAACAATGATGGAATTATTGGATATCTTAAGCTTTTTCTTGGTAATGGTTTAACCAGAAGAATAAATGGAGTTAACAATAGGTAGTGTAACTCATCTCTCGTAGGAAATTTTA